GGTCTTCCTTTTCCTGTTAGCAGTTAACACATGTGCTACGGTCATGAAACGGTCACAGAAACCTTAACAAATAAATAGACATGTTTACCAGATATGCTAACTGACTTAAGTGTGTACTTAGTGTTGGTGTATAAGTATGTGCTATTACATTTGATTGCTGCTGTTATTGTTTTGTGTATTAGACAAGATGTTGTATATGTCGTGTTTGGAAGATTTAAAATGTCTTTGTCATATGAAGGGCAGATGTGTTCATAGAGACAACTTTTCATTAAATATTTGTGGTTATTTTATCTTCATCAGTGCATAGGTTGTATTTTAAAGTATATATGCTGGAATAAAATGTCCAAGCTGATTTGTCTGATGTAAATGTTCTAATAAATATTTAGTTTTGCAGTGATAAACTATATTTTAGCACTACGTTACTAAAACTATCACTATATCACAATAAACTACATTACTTCATTACAGTAACTAACCTATTTTAGTGTTTAGCCCCTGCATTGACTGCGACGACGCCTATTTGTGGATATTCTGCGGGGGGTGCATGAGTTAAGCCAATGACACGCCCTCGTTTTCGTTGCATGGCAACGCATTCGCTTCTGAGTGTTTTCGTTCAAGGTTGTGCTGCAGAAGGCGCCTGCATCAATGTAACGACGTGCCACAGTAAGACACTTTATTACGCAAATTATCTGGAAAAGATGTATCAATCCGTGCCGAATGTCGGGAAATGAAGCTGACAAACCTCACGAGTGCTCTTGAATGCCAAAAGATACGCAGTAAGTGAACCGCTGATGGTTTGCAACTTAAAGTCCTCATTTGTTAACCACGACATCTGTATGTTATTCTGAAACGCTTTTATGGCGCATAAGCCATTGCAATTTTGTGTAAATTCGGCGTCCTAGCGCAGAAATCCTTCTATTCACTTTAACCTACTTTAGATCTGATCATGGTGTGCTCTCTCTAGGTGTGTACTAGCTTTTCATGGATTTTTATATTAAGTCGTTTAGTGGAATAAGCATTTTTACACTGTCTCAGTACTCACACCTATTTAGAATGAATTAAAGGAATGTCGGGAAATGAAGCTGACAAACCTCACGAGTGCTCTTGAATGCCAAAAGATACGCAGTAAGTGAACCGCTGATGGTTTGCAACTTAAAGTCCTCATTTGTTAACCACGACATCTGTATGTTATTCTGAAACGCTTTTATGGCGCATAAGCCATTGCAATTTTGTGTAAATTCGGCGTCCTAGCGCAGAAATCCTTCTATTCACTTTAACCTACTTTAGATCTGATCATGGTGTGCTCTCTCTAGGTGTGTACTAGCTTTTCATGGATTTTTATATTAAGTCGTTTAGTGGAATAAGCATTTTTACACTGTCTCAGTACTCACACCTATTTAGAATGAATTAAAGTTTTTTTTTCATTCATTCATGCATTCATTTATTTATTTATTGTATATTTGTATAGTTTCATAGCAGTCTGCAATCTGCATGCACTGTCATTTGGTAAACTGTCATTTCAAATGTAATCTTTTTTTGATAGAGCTGTAGTAAAACAAACACCTGTAAAAAAATACATCGTGGCCTATTTGTACTTTTTTCAATTATTAATTAATTTTTTGTTTTGTTTTTCCACAGTCATGGAAATATCAGGGAATGAAATTTAGGGTTTTATGAAATGTTTTATAGTTTCCCATTCATGGAATAGTAAAATATTATTATTGAAAACAGTGGAAATGGCTATACACTATTAAAAAATAGAGCTTTTTTAATTGGCATTAATGGTTCCATGAAGAACCTTTAACATCCATGGAACCTTTCCATTCCACAAAAAGCCTTTATAGTGGAAAAGGGTTCTTTAGATTTTTTAAATGTTCTTCACACTAAGAACAGTTCTTTTAATTTTATGAACTGTTCACTGAAAGGTTATTAGGGAAACCAAAATGGTTCTTCTATGTCATCACAGCAAAAAATAAATAAACTAAATTAAATAAATAAATTCATAATTTTCTGCGTATTAATAGTTAATAAGGTAGTTGTTAAATGTAGGTATTGGGTAGGATTAGGGATGTAGAATATGGTCATGCAGAATATGTGTTTTATAAGTACTAATAAACAGCCAATATGTTAATAATAGGCATGCTAATAAGCAGCTATATAACCCTAAACCTATATAGTGAGAATTGGTCCCTAAAGTGTTACCATTTTTTCTCCTTTATGAAACTTGACAAATGTGGTAACCGCAGGTTTGGAGTGCTAAGGCTGAGTAAATAACATAACATTATTTCTGGGCAAATCAGTTGCATTTGGCATATTATTAAAGTTTCCAGCACATAGGTGAAGAAAATAAGAGATTTTAGCTGGCGCTCCAGATAACCAAAGTCTCGTGGGGAAAGGGAAAGATTAGGCGACTCAAAATACCGTGGAAAGTTATTTTAAGGACAGGTTCCCCTCCTAACCTAATTTAGAGCAGTATTTGCATTCACTTAGAAGAACCAGTACCACATGTACTTGAGACAAATCTTTACAATTTATAGTGCATTTTCTGATTATGCATTATTTTATACAGCTAACTATTTATGTCTATGTTTCTTGTTCTTTTCTAGAACATATAGGCATTATTGACTAGAATGTCTCCTTCAAGACTCTACACGGCATCGGTCATGCCTCCTCTGCCTTTAAGTTCTTTCAACGTCTCAAGCAACTTCTGCACGGAAGAGAATGTCTCTGAGTGCATTCTATACATCAATCAGGTAGGTGCAGTTTTTTTTTTTTTGCAACTTGTCTTTTGAGTTTGAAGAAGAAGAATCTAGTAGAAGAATCTAAACAAGAACAAACTTGAATCTCGTATTGTTAATGGACTTGTCACTCTTTACATTCACAGGAGTTGTCGTCCCTATGCTTTCCACCAATTTTCCAAAACTCTGACAACATTCGTGATCTGGATGCTGTGGTTGCCCTAAACAACATACATGACTTGCTTCAGCTACACCGTCGAGCTGTTGGAATGATGGAGGAGCTGGAGGTGGAGCAGCTCAAGTCCAGCAGTGATCTCCACTACCAACATCTCACCAACACCAGGCTAAAGGTTTGGCCTTTTTATCACACTTTTTTATTTTATTTTTAATTTTTTATTTTACTATGAATTTTCACTGTTTTGTAGGACCAGCTTGAACTTTCGAAAAAGGAAAACATGCGCTTGCATGAGCGAGAGCGTCAGCTGGAAACAAATTTAAAGACTTTGCAAAACTGCCTAAAAGATACAAAAGAAGAGGTATGAAAAATGAGCGAGAAAGCTGTGCTGTCACGTACTGTTTTTTTTTTTCTTCCAAAAAATATGTTGTTTTATCAAATATGCTTTTTACTTTAATAGGTACAAAGGCTGCAGGGTATCATTGCAAGTCGTGCCACACAATACAACCATGACATTAAGAGAAGAGAAAGGGAGCACAACAGAGTAAAGGAGCGCCTCAATCAACTACTCATTGCCAAAAAAAATAAACAAGGTAATATGTATCACTTGAAGGGTCATGACATGAGAAATCAAATTTGCCTTGATCTTTTGGTATATAAAAGGTCTTCGAACCATTAAAACATCCTGGAAGTTTCATATCTTAAAGTGTCCTCCTCATTATAAACAATGCATTTATTTAATCAAGCTCCAAAAACGGCTCGTTTTGGATCTGAGGTGCAAGCTGACGTCACCCGGGCACAAACATTTGCATAAACACTGCCTCCAGAGCAACGCATCGACGAATAGTCATCTTCTCACCACAAGCCCCGCCCACTGGCATTCAGTCGTTTAATGGCTTGACACTTGATTACACTGAATGCAAGTGTCATGTTGCGTTGCGTCACGTCAAAAGCAAATAGAAATTACAATCACTGCCGCTATCTTGTCTACACTGGATGTAGTATACAGATGCCCGTTCGCTTTCTGACACAGTCCACGCGCTCGAGTCTGTTAGGACAAATGGAGTGAAAGAACATTCGCTTTGACGCGTTTGGTTTAAACAGCTCGTTCGCGTCTTTGTACAGATATCAGAAGGATCCCAGTGTAAGGAACAAGTGGATAGTTTATTTTTAATGGCATCGTGTCAGAGGATTGGTCGGAGCATTTTGTTTTGTAAACGATGCACAGTGTCATGGAAAGTTCACAAAGAAATATTTGTTGAAAGATGAAGCGGTACTAGATCTGACTGCAGCTGCATCAAATTATTTCATAATGCTTTGTCTGGAAATGACCGTTTTATTTTGATCATGCTGTCAAAACACTCACATGCAATAGCGAGGAGGCATTGATACTGTTTCCTATGCAATGACGTTAGCCAATCAAAACTATCTGTCTGATCATTTTTCCACATATTTATTTGTTTTTTTGTGCACAAAACTTTATTGACTTTATAAGTAAACCTCAAGGAACATATTAAAATAATAAAAAATCCATGTCATGACCCCTTTAAATATATCTCTTAATAGAATAACATACTGAATATACTGTTTTATTGGCATCTGTAAGACTTCTTATACAGTAAAATAGTAATATTGTGAAAAAAATATTACAATTTAAAATAACTCCTTTCTATTTTAATATATTTTAAAATGTAGCTAATTTATTGCTGTGATGGGAGTGCTGAATTTTCAGCATCAGGCTTCAGTGTCACATGATCCTTCAGAAATCATTCTAATATCATTCTAATAATAATACATTTTGTCCTTGGACTTTGGATAATTATAAAGTTCACAGGAATAGCGTTTATGTGAATTTTTTTGTAACAAAGTCTTTTCCATCTCATTTAATCAGATGAATGCATCTGTTCTGAATGACAGTGTTTATGCTGATATACACTCAAAACCAGTGAAGTTCACTCTTGACTTTATTTGCATTAAGAAACAATTCACCCACAAATGAAAAATTTTAATTATTTAGTGACCCTAATGTCATTTGAAAATCTTTTGAAAATAATTTCTGCTTTGTGTCAGGAATGGAAGTTTTGAATTATGTTGGAAGGTCGGATGGTAGGAGATGTCTTTGGAAAACTGGAAAAACTGAATCTAGGTAAAAGACAATCATTTTGGTTGTTTGTTGGCATTATATTTATAGTTCCCCTTCACTATAATATCATATGACAACTTTAGAATTTTTTTTTAATGTTTTTTTTTTTTTTTTAGACATGAGGGAGTTATGTACAAAACTCTTCTCAATGAATTTGATAACCGTCAGAGGGAGCTAATGGTGGAAAACAGAGCTGAAGAAGGTGCTTCAGCAAATGAAACGAGAAATGGTGGGGGTTTTAAATTCAAAGAAGATGAGCCAAAAGGAAGAGAAGCAAAGCAATGATATGGATCAGGTACAGTATGACTGTCAAGTCCATAACAAATATTTTACACTAAACACTTCATGATACAGCTCATAATTATTTGTGTTTGCTAATGGTATTTTTTTGGGGAAAAAAATATTTCAGTAGACTCTGCAGACAAATTCTGATGACGATGAACTTTTGAAAGGACATCCTGATATGTCATGTGATCATGCTCGGGAGAAACTCACCAACAGCATTCGTCAGCAGTGGAGGAAACTCAAGCACCATGTTGAGAGATTAGACAGCCAAGGTAGAGGATACCATTCACAGACTTTTAAGGCAAACAGAATTTAATCTCACCTTTTTGTTCATCACCATCTTTTCCTTTATTTCTTGAGCAGCCTTATCACCTAATGCACAGAACGTTACACATTAGACACACAAACCTGTTGTAAAAATAAAAATACTGTGAAAGGTGTTGTATTTTGTGTTGAAGCATCCATGGTGCAAGATGGAGACAGTGAAGAGGTGATCTCCAAACAACTCCATGAAGAGGAGATGGAGAGGCTCAAACTAGAAATCCAGCAGTGCAAAGAGTTTATTCAGACTCAACAGCAACTTCTCCAAGTAAGTAGAGAGACAGTTTCCTTAAGTCAAATGCAGACATGGTTTTATGTTTACGCGGCGCGATGCAACGCAACGCGTAAAAAGACAGTATAAGTCATTATAATCCATAATTATGTCCCCACTGGATGCAACGAATGCCTTGTTTATAATGGGTTTTCATGTTTTTGAATCATCGCTCCGGCCTGACAGGGCATCATCACAATATGGTAAGGGCATAACATTTCCGTCTCACGCTTGAGGTATTCGGCCAATCACAATGCACTGGATAGCTGGCCAATCAGAGCACACCTCGCTTTTCAGAACGATGAGCTTTGTAAAAATCGATGCGTTTCAGAAAGGCGGGGCATAGAGGAGAAACAATAATGTACAGTATGTGGAAAATAATGTGTTTTTTTAACCTTAAACCGCATAAACACATCTCATTACACCAAATACACAAAATAATGTTCTTTTTAGCAGCATCATATGACCCCTTTAAATCATACTCTATTTATTGCATCAAATTTTGTTAATACTTTACTATATTTAAGGGTGGATAATTTTATCAGTTGTTTATTGCAACAATACATAACTACAATAACTTTGTCTAGTGCTCTTATGAAAGAT